AAAATGGGACCCTCTCCTTTAAAGCTACCGTTTACGACCCCTCCCTTCCTTGAGTATCCCACAAGGATGATGCGCTTTGGTCCTGGTCCAAGCTGTATGCACAGCTAGTGCTGGACTTTGACGATAATGGGTAAAACTCCGATAAACAGACCTCTAACACTTCGTTTTTTTTGCCGAGACCAATTTATTTTCCTCTGCCGTTTTTGCCGTTTTTTTATTGGACCATTTGAGGATGACTATATTTAAAAGAATTTTTGCAGGAAATCTCTCAATTGGCTAATGGTGGCAAACTTCCGATGTTGAATCTGCAGACAGCAGCGCAAGCGCATGCATTGCTCCAGAGTGCACTATTCTCACAACCGGCTCTCAAGTGAGTTGTTCTTTTTCTGCTTCTCCAGACCTTTTTCTTTACCGTCTCGAAAACGGGTTCTCAACGACCTATAGACTTTCTTTTGAGGAGATTTTCCAGTTCATGGTTATGCTTGGTTGATTCAGGTATTATGATGCGAATTCCGATGGATTCTTCTATGAGATGGCTTCTGTTGATGGATGGAAACGTCGTCAACCAAATAAGCCAGTTCATCAAACTCTATCGAATGGTCTGAATAATGCATCAGCTACGACAGAAGCTGGAACACCAACTCGACCCAGCTATGGTGCCACTTTAGCCCGAGGACAAATTCCCCGTCATCATTGTGTACTCGATGATAGCAGTGCGTCGTCGTCTGTCAGTGAAGATACAAGCCTTCAGGTGGGTAGATTTCCGGTTGAAAGGGTTTCTGGTGCCAAAGTCGTCGTTACAGGATGTGTTCGGTCTTGACACGGCCTTCAGTGGATTGAGGATGGGTTGCGATAGCCCGTTCCGACCTCTGAACACGAACACCAGTGCTACAACTACCAGCACGGCTGCCGCTGCTACCACTAGCAATAGTAGCACCAGTTCGACTACAGCGACGTCGGTCTCGCGACCTGAATCACTCTTGCTTAGCGATCAGATTCTGCCTGGATTCAACGCTGACAAATTTATTCAAGAACTATCATTCTCTGGCCTTGACCCTTCCAAGGTAAGGAATTTTTCATCGTGTAGTTCAGGAGATCTGAGAAGCGATATCGCGCGCAATTCGACTGGTATTCCTAGCTAGTTGACTTCAAAGCGGTCCCGTGTCAATTCAATTACACTCCATATCGCAGAGCTTGAGGGGGTGTGGTTGCGTACTTCGTTTGGACATAGCCTAGGATGCCTCTTTTCGTAGGAATCTATCCATTTGTCAAACCTTGAGCCTAAGCTGGAAAATACATGGTGGCAATTGCCCAAAATGA